AGATGGCTAACTAATTAAGAATGGGTGAGGATGTTTTGAAGTTGGCGTTGGTGGGAGAGAATAAAAAGGAAGTGAGAAAGATTGAGGAATAAATTCACTTAAATTTTGTGAAGTGCGGAAATATTGTAAATTTCAAAGATTTGAAAATTTGGAAAATTTCTAATCCCGCATTATGAAACTTTTTTTTAAATACTATGTAACTACATCATGTTTAATGTCCATGGTAGATAAAAAAAAAAAAATGAGGTGTTGTTACTAACAATATATTGATCACAGTCAATGTACGCGGTGGTTTAATACTTACATAACATGCTAACTAAAATCGTGGTAGTAAGTTGTTTTATTATAATGGGCTACTACCTGCCCATTGTAAAATATTATTATCTATAACATGCTGACTAAGTTCGTGATAAATGTTTTAATTTGCCCATGATAAAATTGATGTGGTAAATGAGCCGGTTACTTGTGGTGGGTCCAACGAGCACTTAGCTATGGATGCGTCACCGAAGCAGCAGACAACACGTGCACATTAGAAGTAACCGGTGTAGGATCCACAATAGGTGGAGAACTACTGGCTATAGCAGGATGTGGGAGGTGCACTAGAACCTTAGCAACGGTGAGTAGAAATCAAACGCGACATCGGTAAAATTTGTTAACAAAAAAATAATATTGAATTAATCCTAAAATTAAAATTATTCATAAAACTAAAATCTTAATCCTAAAATTTAAAAATAAATTCTAAAACCAAAACCCTAATCTACCAAAAAAAAAAAAAATAATTATAAGACTAAAATCTCAATCCTAAAGTTAAAAAGTTTATCCTAAATCTACAAAAAGTTAAGAAATAAAATTAAAATTCTAATCCTAAATAAAAAAATAAAAAAATCCTAAAACTAAAACCCTAATCTGAAAAAGAATTTAAGAATGATAACTAAAATCCTAATCTGCCCAAAATTTGAGAAATTAAATTAAGAAAATTTGCAAAAAATAAAATTAAGCAAAAACCTAAACAGCCCTCCCTTCCCCTCACCCCGGACCACACCCACCACCTACAACCCACCTATAAAACCCCCAACCCCGCCACTTGCACCATCCGTAATCTGCAATTGACAACCCTACAACCCTAATCTTCAAATGTGAGGGCGTCGAAGAAATTGCCTCAATTTGTCGGAGGGAGAGTGAGAGAGGGTCGGAGAGACAATGAGACGGCTTCGAGAGACTGTCAGCGGGAGAGTGACAGTGAGGGACAGTCGGAGGGAGAGTGAGAAATCGTCGGAAGGAGACAGAGAAGGTCGGAGGGAGAGCGAGAGAGGATCGGAGGGAGAGTGAAAGAGGGGAGGGATCGGATTTTAAAGGGTTTGGGGTATGCGCTGGAGTTTGGGAGGGGTCGGATTAGAGAGTACAGAGAGCAGGGGAATGAAAAAGAAGAAAGGGGGCTTGGTTTTTAATTTTTAGAAAACTAATGAAAATAACTTGAAAACTTTGAGTTTTAACGATAAGAACAAAATAAAGGGTAAAGTAAATAGTGCCAGAATTGATTTTTTAGTGTAAAAATGTAGTTTTTCGTTAAAGTAAACAGTATCGCGAGTTTTTCGTTAAAACTCGCTTTTAATTTAGAATAATTATACAAAACTACCTCAACTATAGGTCGAATCATAATCTCATATCTCAAGTTTTAAAAATTACCATGCCTTATCTCAGCTTACGATGTGACTTGAGACGGAGCATACTCCCTCACTCGAATAAAAATGTTAAAGAAATATTAATAAATTAAAGATAAATCATTTAAATATTTTTACAAAAAAAATATAGGACCCACCCTGTAAAACTGATCACCCTCACTCTTCTTCCCTAGCCCATCTGTCACCCCCACCTCCCCACCTCCCTCTTCGCAACCCATTTCTCCACGATCGCCTTCTGTGTCCACTTCAAATCCGATGCCATTAACAATGCAACAAAACAAGGTTCGAGGAACAAAACCCATGTTTTAATTTTCCTAACTTTTGATATTGCTTTGAGCACCCAACACTCTCACCCTCTCCCCTGCTTCCCACAAATCCCCAACCTTTCTCACCTGCAAACATCATTCTCATTCTTCAATTTCATCACCACCTGTTATGTTCTTGACTCCCTGTGCCCACGCATAACCCAGAACTCCTTCTCTTCGCCATCCCCAACAAAGAACCTCGCACACCTGACCTGAAAACCTAGCAACCCCCGTTCATTGTAACCCATTCATTTCTCCCAATATGATACCCACGGGGAAGTGCTGAAGTCGAATCGGAAGATTGCAGAGGATGGCTTCATAGCCCAATCGGCAACCACCCTTCACTCTAGTGATGAGAACACTAGTACAAAAATATGCTTGCACGACGAAGCAAATTACGTTGCATGAGGATATATTTGGTTAAGAAACGATTGAGTTATGAAGCTTTGAAAATTGTTCAAAGAGTTTTTAAAGAAAGGACCAAAATGATGGATGATAAATAATCTCAGGGCCCATTTCTATTGATCTTGAATCTCAGGGACCAAAATTATGTGTTATGCAAATCTCAAAGACCATTTTGGCTAAAATAAGTATAACATAAGATTTTGTGGTACCCACTAGTGTAAATATTTTAAGCGGAAAATTGAGTTCTTTCATTGTATTCATATAGGGTCAAGGAGTGTAGCTATAAAAAATCATCAAAATTAGAGTTAAAACTACCGTTAAATAGTGATTTTTCGTTTATAACCGTCGAAAAGTTTTGTCTTGTTACTTGATCTCTGTACGTTTGCATTTTGCGATTTTTGGCGTATGCGATCTCGAAGTATATATAAACAAGTTTGATAGTTGGATCGTTGAAACTAGTTTCGTAGAATTCGTATCCCATAAATACAATAGATTCACTAGCATTTAAGAGTTTATTTATACTTTCATTAAGAATAACATAAGATTTTGTGGTACCCACTAGTTGAAATATTTTGAATTGAAAATTGAGTTCTTTCATTGTATTCATATAGGGTCAAGGAGTGTAGCTGTAAAAATTCATCAAAATCGGAGTTAAAACTACCGTTAAATAGTGATTTTTCGTTTATAACCGTCAAAAAGTTTTGCCCCATTACTTGATCTCTCAACGTTTGTTTTTTGTGATTTTTGGCATATGCGATCTCGAAGTATATATAAACAAGTTTGACGGTTGGATTGTTGAAACTAGTTTCGTAGAACCCTAAACCCTTGCCAAAAAAAAAAAATAAATAAAAGGGTGCACACGACGAAGAAGTAACCTGGGTTGCGCAAAATTTTTTTGCGAAATGCAGGTACTGTCGTCACGCAAAGACCTTTTGTGCAACACACCAACCAATGCATCACACAAAGATAGTTTGCATGACGTCATCTGTTCGTCACGCGAAGGGTTTTTATACTTTATTTAAGTATAACATAAGATTTTATGGTATCCACTAGTGTAAATATTTTAAATTGAAAATCGAGTTCATTCATTGTATTCATATAGGGTCAATGAGTGTAACTGTAAAAAATCATCAAAATCGGAGTTAAAACTATCGTTAAATGATTTTTTTTTTTTATAACCGTCGAAAAGTTTTGTCCCGTTACTTGATCTCTGAATGTTTGTTTTTTGCAATTTTTGGCGTATGCCATCTCGAAATATTTATAAACAAGTTTGACAGTTGGATCGTTAAAACTAGTTTCATAAAATGCGTATCCCATCAAGTTCAATGGTATATATATTTATTAAGTAACTTTAAATTTATTTATTTTGTACGTATAACACTTAAGAAATTGAATGGTATGTATATCTATTAAGTAGCTTTAAATTTATTATTGTAGTTCGGATCGAGTTTTTGTTAGAAAATATATTATTGTGGGTTTTATGTGAAAAAAAATAAAAAATTGAATTTGAAGGGAGTAAAGTCACATTTTCAGTAAATTTTATAATAAATATATATATTTTTTAAATAGAACTTACATGACGCCAAGATAGGGTCGTTGTGCAAAAACACTTTGTGCGATACCAGGATGGGGTCGTTGAGCAATTTGTTAAAATTTTGGCAGTGCAATTGTAAAAAATAGGCGTTTTTTTAAATTTTTCCAAATTTTTCCCAAATTTTGCCAGTCTCTCTTCCCTTTCCCTCTCTCTCTCTCTCTCTCTCTCTCTCTCTCTCTCTCTTACTCGGTCTCTCTCTTCCCTCTTGCTCATCTCGCCTTCTCTCTCACTTCGTCTCGCGTAGCCTTCCTCCCTACTGCACCCAGCCAGCCTCCTCCTCATCCTTCCTTCCTCCTGACTACACCTAGCCAGGTATCTGTCTTTTCTTAATTCTTTATTTTTCTTCTTTCTAAGGTCAGAATCAGGCTTTAATGCCTTACTTTGAAGATTTTGGTATTGTAACTAGATTCGATTTGGAAAATTAAATTAGAAATTGGGGGTTTTAGTGTTAAATCGAATTTTAGGGTAGAAATTGGGCGTTTTAATGTTAAATCAAAATTTGGAGATTTTCACTTGGACTAATAGCTCAAACTAGTACTCAAACTAGAAACATTGGACAAAGTAATACCACAGGTTCGTAACATGCTAAATTCTAATATATCACTTGTAGTCTTCTTTATAGTTCTCAACTAATGAGTTTGATTATTCACAAGGTGGCTCTGTAGATCCTGATTCTTTAAGCACTAGCATTAGCAGTGATATAGAACCACTACCAGGCCTTGCATCCATACTTGAAGAGCTAGTACAGGAAGATGGGTAAGGTTTTTGCATTTTTTGGTTTATGAAGAGCTATTGAATATTTTAATGGCTTTGATTAAGAGACTAGAATCTGTATCAATTTTTTGGATTTGGAAAATTTCCAATACTAGTATTGTTGTTAAGACAATATTTATTTCAACATAAACTGCTGATAGTTACCAAAAACTAGATTTTGTCAGAACTTCTACAAAGTGTGAATAAAGAAATAAATGATTAACTACCGAACTCCATTCACGAACTAGTCCAGCCTCTTTTGCTTCTCATTAGATAAAAGTTAATTCATTATAATTTTCAAATAAATTATTTCAAAATTGTACTTTTAAGCATGAAGTTCTCCCAAGCATTGGCTGTGAGTAAATTATACATTTTCAAAGGCTCAATAGTAAACTATTGTGGTTCAGTTTATTAGTCTGTTAGGGTGGTCTTGTTAGCTAGTTATGTTTTCCCCTTAATTCCATTTTCCACTTTAGGTTTGCTCTTTTTGGACTTTGCAGATAAGCTGTTTTAGCCTCGATTGCCGTTGGTTTTCAAACCACCTTCGGAGAAGAAAAAATGCTCATCTTTGACAGGTATGTTAACCATGAAAATAAGTGGTTAGCATTGGACAGAGATCAATATTTGATTTATTCAGTACTAGAAGACAACTCCTAAGTTGAAGTTACATTTGTATGCTCTGTATACAGAGATTAATATTTGATTTATGCAGTAGTAATACACGACTCTTAAATAGAAGTTGCAGTTGTATACTCTGTATACCTTTTTTTTTTATCGTTTTTTGAAGTTTTAACTTTTAGAGAATTGTTGTGCACTTGTATGTGAAATGCAGAGGCAAATCAGAAAATGATAGTTGAAGCTGGTGGTCTTACTTCCTTGTTAATGCTTCTTAAAAGCTTTGAGGATGAAACCGTTCGAAGAGTGGCAGCTGGTGCCATTGCGAATCTTGCAATGAATGGTGAGTGCTCAATGATCTATTCTTCTTTCTTAGAGTGCAAGGGCGTTTTCTATAGTTTGAATGTTATTACTTTTGGGTTGAGAAGTATCTATTTGACTTTCAAAATATTGGTTTTTTACGTTGCTTCCTCTATGGATTTGTAGAGCTAATAAAGAAATTATAATGCAGGAATGTGGGATTAGTTTGTTAGCAACGACAGCCGCTGAAGCTGATAATGCTCAAACCCTATGCATGGTTGCTAGAGCTATTTCTATTTTATGTGGCAATGGTATACTGCATTGTCTTTTCTTTACTTGTTTTATTATTAGAGCCTTTGCCTTTTCTTTTGGTTATTCATTTCTTTTCTCTAATGGTCTTAAAAGAAAATATGTATAACTATCTGTAGTAATCGGGCATAAATGGCTTCATTGGCTTATTAGTGCATAACAAAAGTCCTTTTAAAATCTTTGAAGAAGACTCTTCTTTTCTATTTAGTTCCCGGGTTTGTTATATACAATTCAAACATTTTTACATTAGTCCCTGGAAACATGTCCTTTTTCCAATTCTATGCTTCAGAGAAAGGGTTTTATTTTGTTTGTTCTTCATTTTGTCTATGTTTGCTCTGCATTTTTTTCCCTAAATTTGAGTATTTAAATCCTGCTTTGTTATTATTTTGTTAATATCCTCAGATAAGATACAAATGAAGCTAAGGTCTGAAGGTGGTTTAAGGCGTTGCTAGGAATTGTGAGGTGCAGGCATCTTGATGTTTTTTCCCAAGTGGCCCGTGGAATAGCTAACTTTGCAAAATGTGAATCGCGAGCATATACTCAAGGTAAGAGCCTCTGTCAGAAATATTCCATGAATAGTTCCCTCGACGGTAGTTCGGTCAGTATTATGGTGGAATGTCCAATTTAAGATTTTTACGTTTTTTGTGTAATGTCAATATGCTGACCTACTATAGGGATAAAGAATGCAAGATCTTTCTTGATAGAAGATGGTGCACTTCCATGGATTATACAAAATGCTAATGACGAGGCTGCACCATTCCGGTGCCACATTGAGCATGCACTCTGTCACTTAGCACAACATGGTGGGTGAATTTGTCTTGATCCTAGATAACATCTTTATGTCTTAAACTTTCTACTTATATACATTGGGTATTTATATCACAAAGGTGAATGCGAAGGACATGATTAGTGGAGGTGCCCTCTAGGAGCTAGTTAGAATTTCCCAAGACTGTTCACGAAAGGACATAAGGAGTCTTACTCATCGGACTTTGAATTCAAGCCTGACTTTCCATGCTGAAATGTGACAATTATGGATAGACTACTGATTAGTAAGCAGTGTGATGGGCTGCTCTGAATATATATTATTGCCTCTCCAGTCAATGAGAGAGACACACACAAATTCGTGATGCTTCTGTATAGGCTTGGTCAAGAATTGAGTCCAGAAGGCTGAAGCAGTAGCTCGGGAAGCCAAGATTGCAGCCTAGTTATCAGCCCAGAACTATAAGATGAGTATGATCTTACAGGCCTTAATGATGTCTAGCCTTCAAATCCCGATGCCAGCACCTGATCTTACTCCACCTTCAGCCTCCCAGCCATTTCGCCCAGCCGATACCCAATAGCCTGATGCATCAAGCCTAGAAGACTACTTGTTGTAGTTTTTTCTTTTATACTTGAACATCTTGTATGTACATTTTCATATATTTTATAATTAAATACCTTTTTTTTGTTTATTAATTATTGTTTATAATTTAATTAAATATTTATAAAAAAAAAAATAAATAACTTTTTTGCCAAAAAACAAAGAAAAAAAAGGGTTTGCGCAACGAAGAAGTAATCTGCATTGGGCAAAGAGCTTTTGCGCAATGCAGGTTACTTCTTTGTTGCGCAAAAGGTCTTTGCACGATGCAGGTAGGGTCGTAGCGCAAAGACGTTTTGTGCAATGCAAGTTTTGTCGTCGCACAAAGACGTTTTGCTTGACGACGGCACTTGCATCGCGTAAAGTCCTTTTGCACGACGTAGGGTGTCTATTCATCGTGCAAACCCTGCTTTCATTGCCTTTGCGCAACGGTTGATATGTGACGAAGGTTTCGTTAGGCTAATTTTCAAGCAACGTTTTTTGATTTTGCACGACAAAGGTATCTGCGTTGCGCAAACTGTTTTTTGTACTAGTAGCAAGTAGAGATAAGAGGAAGAGAGTTATTTATAATTTTTTTTTGTTCGAATAAAAATAATTATACTAAGTTTTGTTGCATTAGGATTCATTAGGCGACAAAGCAAGATCATTCGTCGCCTAATATACCTACGCGACACAATTTTGAGTTTCGTCGCATAATTAATTACAAATCGTTCTTCTTTTGGCCTCCTAAACATTGACTTTTTCATTTTTGAATGAAATAAATTTTTTTAAGGAAGATCTTTGAAGAAGAGATCTAAATATTGAACAATTCAAATTTTATAGTCAACTTTTCCAAAATGCCAAACACATTATCACTTGTGCGAGTGCTTGTTGGGTGCAATCAAACGGCAGTAACAATGAACTTTTTTTTTTTTAGACTTGCACGACGAACTTTCAGGTTTCGTTGCATAAAAGATCCTTAAGCAACGACATTTTGTCACGCAAAAGCGCCTACTGCGACAACTTTTGTGGTTACATGACAAATTTTTAAAGATTTATTTTTTCCGAACTTTTAAGTATTTAACAAGAAAATTGTTGTTAGCACTCCAAGAATCTCATTTGGTACTCCAAACTTTCTATTATTAGAAAGAAAAATACACTTGTGAGGAGTGTAGAATGAGATTTCTTTAACAAATTAATTTTTCTTGTAAATGTTTTTAGCCTATAAATGTATTGTACGTACAAAAAATGAAATTTGCAAAAAAAAAAAAAAAAAAAAAAAAGGTATTTTCTCAATTTCACAAGTTATAGTTTCCTGACATAAAAGCTTAATCTGAATTAGAACTACAATAAACATCACTATCATCAATATCATCAATTTCGTAGGTGGTTCATCTTCATCGATAGGTATAGTTCATCATCGTCTATTAGTATCAGATCACCGAGATCAATTGTAATGGAATCTATTAGTATTTCAATTTCAGGAACTTCATCTCGTCAGACACATTTTTCCAGTTAGACCACTGCATAGAGCATAGGTTCCGCACTAGCACCCCTATGTCATGCACAAGCTTGACGTGCACGTCCCTCTCATATTCTATTTGCGACGTAGTATCACAATTGATGTGCATCCAATGATCATTCATCAGATGTATGACCGTGCAAGACCTTTTCATTTTTTTTCTACAAAAAAAAAGAAAAAATTTTCAAAACCAAACATAAACTTCTACCGAAAAATTGGCATAACCTCCTAAAAATTAAAAATTTCCCATAACCTCCAAACTTTGATATACATCCATATCCAACCAAAATTTTGCAAAAACCAACTAACTATAATAATCAACATTTATGTTATTACGCAATTAAACTTTGCAACAACAAAAATTGTAAAATTCATACAATTTGGGTGCACTATCGAATGCCCAGTCATCTGGAGAAACAATATGAGCGACAGCGAAATCAGATGAAATTACCAAACCGACATATACAAAATTATAATTTTAGTCACGTTAATTAGGTAGAAAATCATGCAGCGTGGATATGAGATTTTAACTTGGAATCCCCGTGAACCCTTGTGCAAAGCCCTTCTTCTCTCCTAGTCCCCCATTATTAATTTCTACCATTATTGTCCCACCTAACTTTCTGAGACTTTGAGCAACGAATTTCCTAAGCTACGAAACATTTCGTCATGTGATAATTTCATCTGCTGTGCAAAAGTTGGCACCAAATTCTCATTTTACCATAATTTTTTTTTTCAGATGTTGCGCAGATAATAGAGTACGTCGTCGAGGAAATATTGTTTCCACGACGAAATTCTTCGTTCCGCAAAGTTTTCGTTTTTTTTTTTTTTTTTTTTGTGTTTTTATGTGCTATGGACATTTGACATGACGAAGTACATATTTGGCCATGAAAAGTATTCTTAGGTGACGAAGTTTTTAGCTTTTTTGTTTTTTTTTTTTCCTGCCATGGACATCTGACTTGACAAAGTACATATTTGGCCGCGAAAAGTATTCTTAGGTGACGAAATTTGCTTCATCACCTAAAAATTTGTCGCATAAGTAGTTTTTTGTACTAGGGCCCCGTGATTGATCGGGAGAAACAGCGAGAGTGAGAAAGATGGATTGTTATCCATTGGCTCAAGTCAGGCTTCCAATGTAGTATACATTGTTTCACTGGGTGGGTGGTGGAGTCGTGGAAACTGCAACTCTAAAAGAGAGATTAATTTGAAAAATAGTCTCAGGTCTTATAGCAACACTGATGCACTTGGATAGCCTCGGTGGGTTTTACATCCAGGGTCTACTGGCTTGTTTCGGTTCACAAGACCTCCATAATTAACCAAATTCACATCACAAGTATCTAGTCTATACTTGGGATATCAATGCCATTGCTTCATCGACAAGGTAATCTACTGTGTGGCAAGCATATATACGGATTGGATTGGAATCCTGCTTCTTGCTTTAGTGTAGCTTAGATTCATAATATCAATGGTTATCAAAGGAATAAAAGGCTTAAATGTCAAAATGGTCCCTGTGTTATAGCCATATGACCAATTTAGTCTTCATGTTTTCGATTTGGCTAATTTAGTCCTCATGTTTCTATGTTAGTTAATTAAGGACATTTCATTCAATCTCTGTTAAAAATTCATAAGAAAAATTATAAGAGATATAATTACCTTTTATCTTTACAGAAAAATGAAAATCAATGAGAAATAACACATATAAGAGATAAAACTTCCAATGTGAAAAACGATTAAAGTTGTGACAAAGAAAAGAGAGGGGGTAACATTAGGGAAGAGGTCGGGGAGTTGGGAGGAGAATAATTTTTCTTTTAATTTTTAATTTTATTTCATTTTTAAATATTTTAAATCAAATAAATAATTTTATAAATAAGTTTATAATAATTTAAAAAAAAAATATAGAAATTAGATGGAAATGTCCTTAATTGGCTAACAAAGATAAACATAAGGACCAAATTGGCCAAATTGAAAACATATGGACTAAATTAAACCAATGGCTAAAACATAGGGACCATTTTAACATTTAAGCCGGAAAAAAAATTGTATAAGGCATACCTACACAGTATCAACATGTAATGAAATGATAGAACAAATGGTGGTATACTCATCCTGATTTAGCAAAAATTGTCTAATTTGGCACTATTACAAAAAATGTTTGCCCAACAAAAACAATTTGTCACCATACCAACTCATACCATATCTGTCGACCATTTGATAGCTATTTTGTATTCATTTTTCATTCTTTTGAAGGAAAAAAATTTTGGTAACTATTTTCAATTTTCACTTTTTATTTTTTGAAATTGAAAACTAAAAGCAATTATCAAACGAGTTGTCATTTTCTAAAGGCTTAAATGTCAAAATGGTCCCTGTGTTATATAGTATTTGGTCAATTTAGTCCCAGTGTTTTCAATTTGGCTAATTTAGTCTTCGTGTTTATTTCTTTTAGCCAAGTAAGGATATTTCATTCAATCTCTTTTAAAAAATTCATAAGAAAAACTAGATGAGATATAATTACCATTTCTCTTTACATAAAAATGCAAATCAATGATAAATAACACACACAAGAGATAAAACTTCCAATCTGAAAAATGATTAAGATTGTGACATAGAAAAGAGAGGGAGTAATGTTAGGGAGGTGGTCGGGGAGTTGGGAGGAGAATAATTTTTCTTTTTATTTTTAAATATTTTAAATTAGTTAAATAATTTTATAAATAAGTTTATAATAATTTATAATTTTCGTTTACAGAAATTAGATGGAATGTCCTTAATTGGCTAACGAAGATAAACACAAGGACCAAATTGGCCAAATTGAGAACACAAGGACTAAATTGACCCAATGACTAAAACAGATGGATCATTTTAACATTCCAAAGATCTCATTCTACAGTTCTCACAAGTGTATTTTTTCTTCTAATTATAGAAAGTTTGGAGTGCCAAATGAGATATTTGGAGTGCTAATAACAATTCTCTTTCAAAACTTAAAAACAAAATAGTTATCAAATGATAGCTTACATTTTGGTTAATTTTTTGGATATGAGGAAATTATAAACCAAGCACACATTATTTTCTTGAAGAAAATATGGTCGTAGATATTCAAGTAAATCTGGGATATGCTCAAGATCGTTCATACGATCTGCCATCATATTTTCTTCAAGAAAATTATGTGAATTTAATTTTCTATCATCGCTTTATCTATTGGTTTGAAGATTGGATAATCCGAGAAAAATTACATTTTAGTAGACCACGCGCTGTATCCCTAACGTTTTTCTTGAAATTTTATTGGTCTGATAAACTGGAAGATCACATGTTGACATCGTGAAATGTACCCAAAATAAACAATTGCTCTTTCTGTAGCGCAAACCCTATGTTAGCTGGCTCTATCCTTCTATCGTCTAGATGCGAACTGTATCTTTCCCTAACCCACCACCAAGAGTAAAAATGGAGGATGGACCAGAACGCAAAAGCAACTAAAATAAATAAAACAAGAGAGAAACTCAAAAATAAACTCATTACTCAGTGAAAGTATTTCTGAAATCAAGCACATGCAATATTCACGGATTGCACTT